GGGACAAATCTTTTGAAGTTTGAATAGATGGTTTTATTTTCCTTTTGTGAGCATTTCAAATACTTTGTTATTTTTATTAAAAGTTAATTTTATGAAAGGTGAGGTAGAAACAGGTGGAGGCAATTGGTACTCTGAGCACACTGAAGGTTGGACAGAGCTGTGAGACTGAGTAGTCCGTAATGCCTAGAAGGACGTGATTACACTACAGAGGGTATAGAGGAGATTTATCACGATGCTGCCTGGGCTGGAGGATCTCTGCAATGAGGGCAGATTGAATAGAATGGGGTTGTTTTGCCTGAAATAGTGAACGTTGAGAGGGGACGTAATAGAGGTGTATAAATTATAAGGTGCATAGATATGGTGGATAGGATGGCACTTTTTCCAATATTAGAGGGGTAAATGGCCATTCACATAGATTTAAAAGAGGGAGAAGGCCAAGAGGAGAATTGATAGAATTCTTCAAAATCACGAAGGGTCTGAACAGAGTGGACTGAGCAAAACTGTTCCCACATATAAACAGATCAAAATGAGAAGTCACAGTTTCTAAAATGTTTTACAAGAGAAACAAATGTGAGTTGAGAAAAAGACTTTTTCATATGGTGAATAGTTAAGGTATGGAATGCACTGCCTGGAAGTGATGGAGGCATGATCAATTAAGGTAAATAGAAACAATGTGCAGGGTTATGGGGGGAAAGACAGGATATTGGTGGTAAGCTAAAATTTTCAGACAGCCAGTGCAGACAGGATGGGCTGAACGGCTCATTCTGCACCACAACAATTCTGTGATTCTGGGAAGTCATGGAAGTTAGACAATTGTGATTATGGATTGAATGTAGCGAGGGTATGGTATTTCTCAGTTAAATCCATTTTGTTGAAAGTAGATTATTGGGTATTTTTAAGCTGAACACAATGTTCTATTGCTACCATAGAAATGATGTCTGACGAATAAAATAAAAGACATTAAGATTGGTAGTCATGTTTCACAAGCCCTTAAATATACAGCATAGGATCAAATATCAAGCAGAATGAGTCAGAAGTGACTTTGGATCAACAACTCTTGGACCTTTTGGAGAGGTGATGGCCTATTGGTATTATCGGTGGACTGTTAATCCAGAGACCAAGATAATGTTCTGTGGACCTGAGTTCAAATCCCACCACAGCCGATGATGGAATTTGAATTCAATTTTAGAAAAATCTGGAATTAAGAGTCTAATGATCACCATGAATCCATTGTTGATTGTCAGGGAAAAACCCATCTGGTTCATTAATGCCCTTGAGGGAAGGAAACTGCCATCCTTACTTGGTCTGGCCTACATGTGACTCCAGACCCACAGCAATATGGTTGACTCTTAACTGTCCTCTGGGCAATTAGGGATCGGCAATAAATGCTGCCCTAGCCAGTGATGCCCTTATCCCATGAATGAATGAATAAATAAAAAACACCTCTGCTTAGAAATATGACCAAGTCCTCACAGAAAGAGGGTTCTGCATCCATAATAGTAATAAACCAGTTCAGTAGTTTGATCAGTTGAACTGGGTGGTGCACTTACAATAGATGGGGTTTATTACGTTCTTGGTGGGCTAGAATAACAAATGTTGTTCATTAGATTTGGAACCCTAAGAAAAGCAGTTAAATGCACCTTAGCTGTTGAAATATGCACTAGTGGAAACAGTAGATATAGGTATAATTGTCTGACATTTTGAAGGAAATCCTATACACAAGACAATCTGGGGAAAAGTTGCCTAAGGAATATTATGTAGATAAGCATTCTCTTTGGGACTATGGCCATTCGACAAAGGATGTCTCTGAGAATTCACTTTGCTATTGTGAAGGAAATTTGGACAGAAGATTGATTGCTGTTTTACAAAGAATAATGTTTGCCTAAGAAATGAGTTCATGCCCTTGAAGGGAAACATGTTATGTAATGACGAGGATCCTATATATTGTGTTATACAGAATTGGATAGCAATTTTTATTAAATTGTTTTGTAATTATTTTCTAAATGTGGAAATATTGTTTAAAGAACAGGGAATAGGGACTCTATCAATAATTGTTTTTATTATAATGTGTGACATTAATGTAGAAAAATATCTATAGTTTTGGAAAGATTATTAAACAAACGATCAAAGGTGATTAGAGATAGCAGGAACTGCAGATGCTGGAGAG